GGTGTGTGGCGGGGGAGCGGAGGGGGTTACGACGCTGTCCCGGAAATTGATTGACTTTTCTGCTCCTGTTGTACTCCTAAGGCAGGCTGCGTGTAATATCCTGTCACTCGACGGACGCGCAGGCGGAGCGAGGGTGGCAGGGAAGCCGGGTGCTGCGATGGAGGCGGTGGGTGGCACGGGGGAAGGCCGTGGGTGATGCAGGGGTGGCGCCAGCCGAGCGAAACTGCGTTTATCTTCCTCCTCCCGACTACCAATCAGTTTTCAAGAACATAACAGATACTACTACTGTTTCCATGTCAGATATGGGTATCGATTGGTAATTGCGGTGCAGTTTGCCGTACTAAGAATGCTTAAGTAACTATTTTACGGGTTCATTTTCAGGTTGCAATGTTTTTACTTTCGTAGACCACCTCTTCTTGCAAAGGTGAACAAACCCCAAATTATTGATTTGTACCTATCACTCTGACCTCGCCCAGTACAGAGTGGGAGAAGAGAAAAGGCTGGCGGCTGTAGCACAACAGAGGATCCATTTCTGGAGCCGGCCGCGAGAACGATCCACCAAGAAAGGTCATTTCTCCATACAAGGAAAAGTGCATTCACTATGGTTGGATTGAAATGGAAGTTCTTGCCCTTCTTCCCTCAAGAAAAATATGTTCTCAATTTACGAAACAGTCGGAAATAGTGCACTTTCAGCCATGACTTGAAGGCACTCGGATCAAGATAAAAGTCCTCTTGGCATTTCCTTTCCTGAAGAAATAAGTTTTCTAGGAGGTGTTTCGTACGATTGGTCTAGATCGTGATAACCCAGGAACACGTCCACAGATAAACTCTAGTTCCCATATGTTTGGTAAGTTGAAATCATTTTCAAAATTTACTGGGGTCCCCCACGCCAGAGCGTTTATACAGTTGGCTTCATTAACGGCTATGAAATGAAGAGCTGCCAGGAATGACTTTTTGACGAGATGTTTTACCATTTATATCATTCATATCTCGAGCGATCACACGAATTGCTTTCGTTCCAAAGAGAAAGTAGAGGGCGTGGCCGCGTCGTGGCCCTGGCGAAAACTCATAAACCAGCCGGCAAACAAACCGTAAACGAATAATACTTCAATATCGCCCGCCTGCAAATGTAAAAGAGCCGACGGAATGAGCGAGAGAGCTCAGACATCAAAGCCGGCGGACTCTGCCGACCGCCCCTCTTGGAGGCCGGAGTGAGACGAAGTGACTTGCCAGTGCGCCGTACGCCTCCGCGCCGCTCCGTCGTCCGGGCTGGCCTAACTGGGGGGCATATACTCCCGGGTGAAGCACTCGCCGCCTGACGTGTCGCCCGGCCGCCCTCCCGCACCGCGCAATCCATCTAGAGGCGCAGTAATTATAGCGATTACTCCAAGTAATTAAATGCACGTGAACTCTGCTGATGATGGAGACAAAGGAGCGCCCAGCGCACGGCTGACTGCTACCTCCGAATGGCGAAG